ACTGCCACTCTATCATGTACACTCTAGCCTGCTTATGAAGCTGAGTGCGTGTACTGGCAGTCTATAATGTGGACTCTTGCCTGGTTATTATAATCGATTCTTTATATGTTCTTTGTACAAACAGTCATTAAGCTGCTTGAGCGACCCCAGTTCGATTCCAACTCACGCCCACCACCGCTGACGATTATTTGAAACGGACCTGGCCCTCCCCTAGGTCCACTCAGCCTCAAAAGCGTAACTGCTGTCGTGTGTGAACATCGTCACTGGGGAGACAAAGGCGGCGGGGCATCGTGGATCCAAGTCCCGGGCGAAGCCGGGTCATGTGTATGTGTGTTTGTGTTTATGTGTATGTCTGTGTGTCTCTATGTATGTGTGTATGTATGTGTATGTATGTGTTTGTGTGTATGTGTGTGTGTATGTATGTGGGTTTTTTTTAATGTCTTTATGTGTATGTCTGCGTGTCTCTATGTATGTGTGTATGTACGTGTGTGCATGTGTTTGTGTGTATGTATGTGTGTGTCTATGTATGTGTGTGTCTATGTATGTGTGTGTATGTGTGTGTATGTATGTGTGTTATGTGTCTGTCTGTGTCTGCATGTATGTGTGTGTGTATTGTGTATGTGTTTGTGTGCATGTATGTGTGTGTTTGTGTGTATGTGTATGTCTGTGTGTATGTGTTTGTGTGTATGTGTGTGTGTATGTATGTGTGTGTATGTGTTTGTATGTGTTTGTGTGTTTACGCTCGCATTACACAAATGTGTTGCTGGTCTAAGGCGTTCCTCGCACAGCATTGCCGCTTTATTATTTCAGTCGTTTACTGCCTTACGCACCCTGAAAGTCGTGTGTGTCTGCAGCAAGCGCGTGTATGTGTACCTATGGACGCGCGCGCGTGTGTTGTGTAGGGGGAACGGTAGTGTAGTGCTTAGCGTGCTGTCTGTGTCTGTGTGTGTGTGTGTCTGTCTGTGTCTGTCTGTGTGTGTCTGCGTGTGTCTGTGTGTGTGTCTGTGCGTGTGTGGTGTGTGAGGAGCGGTGGGTGTAGTGCTTAACGCTACGCTGCGCTACCAACCCGGCGAACCCAGTTCCATTCCCGCTCACGGCCACCACCGGTGACGATTATTTGAACCTCCCCTAGGTCCACTCAGCCTCAAACGAGTAACTGGTGTGGCGTATTAACATCGGCACTTGGGAGACAAAGGCGGCTGGGCGTGGTAGATCCAAGTCCCGGGCGAAGCCGGGTCATGTGTATGTGTTTATGTGTATGTCTGTGTGTCTGTATGCATGTGTGTTTGTATGTGTGTGTATGTGTTTGTGTGTATGTCTGTGTGTGTATGTATGTCGGTTTTGCCGCCGTGGTGGATCCAAGTCCCGGGCGAAGCCGGGTCATGTGTATGTGTTTATGTGTATGTCTGTGTGTCTGTATACATGTGTGTATGTATGTGTGTGTATGTGTTTGTGTGTATGTCTGTGTGTGTATGTATGTCGGTTTTGCCGCCGTGGTGGATCCAAGTCCCGGGCGAAGCCGGGTCATGTGTATGTGTGTATGTGTTTATGTGTATGTCTGTGTGTCTGTATGCATGTGTGTATGTATGTGTGTGCATGTGTTTGTGTGTATGTATGTATGTGTGTGTGTATGTATGTGGGTTTTTTTGCATGCGTTTATGTGTATGTCTGCGTGCCTGTATGTATTTGTGTATGTACGTCTGTGGATGTGTTCGTGTGTATGTATGTGTGTGTCTATGTATGTGTGTGTATGTGTTTCTGTGTTTGTATGTGTGTGTATGTATGTGTGTTATGTGTCTGTCTGTGTGTCTGCATGTATGTGTGTGTGTATTGTGTATGTGTTTGTGTGTGTTTGTGTGTTTACGCTCGCATTACACAAATGTATAATGCGGGTCTAAGGCGTTCCTTACACAGCATTGCCGCTTTATTATTTCAGTCGTTTACTGCCGTATGCACCCTGAAAGTCGTGTGTGTCTGCAGCAAGCGCGTGTATGTGTACCTATGGACGCGCGCGCGTGTGTTGTGTAGGGGGAACGGTAGTGTAGTGCTTAGCGTGCTGCCTGTGTGTGTGTGTCTGTGTGTGTGTGTCTGTGTGTGTGTCTGTGTGTGTGTCTGTGTGTGTGCGTGTGTGGTGTGTGGGGAGCGGTAGTGTAGTAGTTAGCGTGCTGTCTGTGTGTGTGTTTCTGTCTGTGTGTGTCTGCGTGTGTCTGTGTGTGTGTCTGTGTGTGTGTCTGTGCGTGTGTGGTGTGTGAGGAGCGGTGGGTGTAGTGCTTAACGCTACGCTGCGCTACCAACCCGGCAAACCCAGTTCGATTCCCGCTCACGGCCACCACCGGTGACGATTATTTGAACCTCCCCTAGGTCGACTCTGCCTCAAACGAGTAACTTAACTACTGTAGCGTATTAACATCGCCACTGGGGAGACAAAGGCGGCCGGCCGTGGTAGATACAAGTCCCGGGCGAAGCCGGGTAGTACAGCTAGTATGTATGTAAAAACCGGAGGACCCGGAGAAAAATCCACGCGACCATGGGGAGAACATGCACACTCAAAATATACAGCAGGTGCCAGGGTCCGGGGTGCGAACCCACGACCTCCTGTATACAAGGCGAGGCAGTTCACATCTCGCCACCGTAGCGCTCTAAAACGTTCTTTCTTACGGGGGCCCTTGACTGTTGTTCGATGACGCCCCCTCGTGTCGCGCATCAGTATTTTATTCGAACGATAAACACGGTGGACGACATCGCAGAATAACGAACAAAGGAGTGGACGTCGACCAATCACAGGCAGCAGATCAGATTCAGCAAAAAAATGTTTCTCCACCATCGACCACGTGCATATCATCAATCAGATAAAACTTGTCAATCGTGCGCGCTCCCAGATTTGGCTCAATGAAGTTGACGTGGACTGATGGTGAATGGAGTCGGAATGCGAAATCGAGTCACTTCCGGTCGTCATTGAATTGCCCGGGGTGGTGGTGGGGTGATGGGAGCGAGTGTCTCACAATTCAAAGGTTGCAAGTTCAAATATCGTTTGGAGGGGAGTTGACGCAGCTCATCGTTCCCGCAGGATTGCTGAAATGGGTATAATTTTGTGGGGACGTCATCGCCGGTAATCCTAGGATTGGACTCGCCCCCGCCAGAGCAATATGGAATTTCCAATTAGCTCATCGATGTCGACAGGAGATAAACACGGCCCCAATGCTTATTTGAGCAGCCCATGTGAGTGGATACCGCAAAGCGATTTCGAGATCCCTTCAAGTGACACTCTGCAGTTCAAACAGCAGAGGGCAGCACGTCTCTCACTCGCTCTGTGCGCCACGGCGAATTTCGTCACGTGACAGTCACACCGAGCTCGAAGTTCGCCTAAATTAAGTGCAGAATCTAATTCATTGTGAGGTTGTTCTGTACAGAAAATCGGTGCCCAGCCCCACACCATCAACTCACTGAACCTTGAGAACCCCGTATAATCCCGCGGTACAATCCTGTATAATTCCGTGGCCAGATGTTAACTACTTCGCCTGATATACAGGATGTTGTGGGTCCGATCCCAACCCTGACGCCTGCTGCTGTATATTTGGAGTTTGCATGTTCTCTCTCCCCGTGGTCGCGTGGATTTTTCTCCGGGTCCTCCGTTTTTCACCTCCACATTTATGAATATCCATTTAGAGTAATTGGCTGCTATGAATTTCCACATGATAAGCCATTTCGTTGAACTATCATTTGTGGCCAGGTCGCTTCTGTATAAGAGTCGTATAGCTGAGTGGGCCTTAACTGGTAAAACATAAAAGAGTTTCAGTTTGTTTTATTCCAAGACCTCAGCGGTACCGGTTCAGAGGTTTCACTTTCTGGGCCACCCGTCCACATTCATTGAAAACAATATTGTGTTAAAATACCCTCAATGGAGATGCAAAGGCTCAGTCGAGGTGACACGATCGTTATTACGCTTAATTCACAGTTCATAGCAGAGATTCTCAATGCATGTGTTTCCTTGTGCAACGACGGCTCGACGGAAAGGGAAAACGCTTTGCGCTTAAATACACCGCTTCAGCCGGGCGCTGATGGGCTGTGCTGGCTTGCAAGCCGTGTGGAGGCAGCGAGGGTTGGTGGGTCACGCATATTTGCGAAACTCCCTACCCATGGGCGTCAAAGTTTATCGTCATTCTCCTGGCCGGCCATGGTATAATCATGCTACTTTTAAAAACAATCGATGCCTCGAGTTTGCCGGCTGGCTGCGAGTTGGGCTCCTCTCCACCCTCACGACAACTCCGCTCATTCTCGCAGCAGCAGCGGCGGCTTTTGACTGGACATTGAACAAAGGCGGTCGCTGCATCGCGCGATTTCCGATGCGCTTATGCGGCCGTCTGGAATGATCTTCCTTCAAATATGAGGAAGCCACTGAGCTATGCACTTTTAATGGTCTATATTGAAAACTAATTTCTTGATAACTTGCTTTTTGTGTTTAGTTTGTAGCCCTTCCCTGGCAACTCCGATTAGGACGATTGGCTACCTACGTACGAAAGAGGTTCAACCCCAACAATAATGATTTTGTTCGTGGCTGCAGTCCGTTGCGACTGAATAGGCGCGAAAAATTGTTTCGAATAAATGTAATATTAATAATAGACAGCAACACAAAGGGCTGGGAGCAACGAATACAAAAGACTAGCACGGTTCATTTAAAAAAAAATCCTATAAAAAAATGATTTCACCAAAGTCTTCTTTAAAACCTACAGAATATAAAGACGTATTGTGTTGTTGAGGAGTATCGTGAGAAGGGCAGGGACACGATGACAGCTGTCGCTTATTTCCCATTGCAGAGCAACAACGGGTTCTCTACTGTTAGTAGTAGTAGTAATAATATAAATTGGACTACCAAAATGTGTATGTATGTTGAACTTATTTCGCACTTTACGTAGCCAACCATGCTAATCTCAAGATGCCGTGAATTAATGAAAGGAATGATGTTAAGGAAAAAACCGGGAGGCAAAACAAGGACCAAAACGAACGAGGAAAAAAGCTAGTTTATTTTTTTGCCACAGGATTCAGACGGAATTTATCGAGGTGTCATCGCTCTCCAAGGCTTGACCTCCAGAGGTAGATGGGAGTTCCACGGCCGGGTTCCACCATAGTGAACGTTCGCTCACGCCGAGAACGTAACTGCGATCGTGGTATCCGCAGATCTTTGAGGGGCTCCGCCGGGGGCATGAGATTGAAACGGCTCCTGAATATAACAGTGGCGAGATGTTGACCATCACGCCTCCTATGAAGGAGGGTATTGGGTTCGATCCTGACACTGACGCCTGTATATTTGGAGTTTGCATGTCTCTCTCTCTCCGTGGTTGCGTGGATTTTTCTCCGGGTCCTTCGGTTTTTCCCTTCACATTTAGAAACATGCGTTTAGAGTATTTGGCTGCTATTAATTTCTACATGATAAGTCACTTCATTGAGCTATTATTTGTGGCCAGTTCCTTTCTGAAAGAAGCACTATATATCTGTGGGACTTACCTGGTAAAATAAAAAATAGTTAAAATGTTTTTTTTTTAAGTGGAGGCAAGCCCTCGCAAGGCCTTAAAATATGAAGCCACATGATCTTGAATCTCACTGGACGAGAGAAGAGGAGAGACGTGCAAGGAAGCACCGTGACTGCCACACTCTGAGGTCCCCAATCGACGAGGAATGGCAGGAGTCAATCCGCGAAAACACACAAATGCGTTGACCGGCCGTCGCTCCATCGGCAGACGTAACCGAGAAACTGATTTCAAGGTGGGAACACGAGATCTTCACGGCATTGTTTACATCTGCCTCGAAAGAAAGAGACTGGCGGTGCAGCAAGTGTACTAATTTACAGCTGCCATTCCATCCACACGGAGACCATGTGCTTCCCCGTCCGGTTATATTTTTAAAGATAAAAATTAAGAATACTCATGGCAATCATTGGTAATCAAGTAAAAAAATAAAAATATTGGTAACAAAAATCCGACATTAAAAACACCAGATAAGAATGTCTGTCACGAAAAGCAGTAAGTTTAACGTCAAAGGGAGGGGGGAGGTTCGATTGATCATCTGTGATGGCGTGAGCAGTTATGAGCCCCGCCGCAAGCTCCGTGAATGTTCGCCACGAGGCATCAGAAGCCAGGGAAGAGGTAGAAACGACGCCTGAGGCTATTCCTCTCATCCACGGGCATTTGCGGTGGGTCCTTCACGGAGCACCTGTCCTTCACCTGCGGGGTTGGGGAAGGGCAGGGGTCGTGATCGTGCAAGGGGTTAACGTATCACGTATTGACAGAGTGAACTCGCTCGTTTTCAATCACCAAATCACCCGAATGTGCTTGATCCATCTAGAGCAGTGGTTCCCAACCTTTTTTTGGCTTCTACTGTACCCCTTGTTGGATTTTGTTTCAACCGAGTACCCCCTTGCATGACCCAACATGGTTCTGAGAAATAAATGTACGATTAATGAACATCATTATTTTGACCACTTGTCCATTTTATGAGGTATCCTATCTGGTAACTGCAAGCTAATAAAAAAAATGCAACGGACACTGCACGCGTGATGTAATTTGTTCGCGCTCCCTGGTTACACTTGGAAACCACATTGTTCACTATCAATGAGTTTAAAAATGTATTTTATGTCCTTCGAGGTTACCATATGGATTCAAATGTTATCGTAGTTATTTCATATTGGAAGATTCATACATGATTATTCATCAATGTCTCTCAAGCATTACATAATTTCACACATTTATAAATTACCTCACTTACCCCCCTGGGACATTGCTACGTACCCCCAGGGATCCGCATATACCCCGGTTGAGAACCGCTGCTTGAGACCTTGAAAATTGAGCAGCTTTGAGCCTGGATAGTGCTTGAATGACCGACCACCGTGCATAGAAAGCAGGTGGTGTTGTATGTGTTGTATGTACTTTGTATTCCTTTCGCACCATAGATAGCTAACCGTGCTAATCAGTGTTTGTTGGTGGTAAAAAGGAGTGCACGTAAATCCATTGGTTCCGTATTTCCGTGGTTGAATGTACAGTGCTAAACATATAGCAACCTGTTTACGTTTATTGCCAGCGTCTAGCATCTAAAGGAACACATATATCATCTGAAAAGAAAACTAAGGTCACCCTTTAAAAAAAGGGTCACTTTGCAAACCCAACAATGAACAAAACATAAAACTAAGTGTTGTGTTGACATCGCTATGGCGGCGGCCATGGTGATGGTGCCGTAAGCTGCCGGAAGATCTACCGTTTTGCTCAACGGTGCCTCTATTGTGCATCTGCAGGAGGCCGAAGTGGAGCAACTCACTCTGGTGAACAGTTCCTGCACGTGCTCTGTGCAAGCGTGCTCCTTTATCACCTCCACCAGATGTTGAATCAGGAAGCTGCCTTTAGTTGGGCTCCGGTATGATACGTCATCTGTAGCAAGTTGGGGAGTGGGGAACACAGGGGGAGACATGGTGTTTCGGACTCTGCTCAGAGAGACATGGGTGTCAGACTCTGCTCAGACAGACATGGGTGTCAGACTCTGCTCAGACAGACATGGTTTTCAGATTCTGCTCAGACAGATATGGGTTTCAGACTCTACTCAGCGAGACATGGGTTTCAGATTCTACTCAGACAGACATGGGTTTCAGACTCTGCTCAGAGAGACATGGGTTTCAGATTCTACTCAGACAGACATGGGTTTCAGATTCTGCTCAGACGGACATGGGTGTCAGACTCTGCTCAGAGAGACATGGGTTTCAGATTCTACTCAGACAGAAATGGGTTTCAGACTCTGCTCAGAGAGACATGGGTTTCAGATTCTGCTCAGACAGACATGGGTTTCAGACTCTTATCAGACAGACATGGCCGTCTGGAATGTTCTGCCTTCCGATATTAGAAAGCCAATGGAGTACTTTTAAATTTAGATTGAAAACTAATTTCTAACTGCTTTTTGTGTATAGTTTTTGTCTTTCCCCCGCACCTCCAATTAGCCCGGTTGACTACGTACAGTGCAAAAGATGTTCAACAAAAATACATACCCGGTCTTAACCCGATCTCGAATGCTGTGCTTTGTGTGGGCAGGGACATTTATGCACAACAAGTGATTTAGGTCCAGAGAGTGCATGCTCCTTATTTGTATACGTTTCAGTTTTATTGCCGCCGTTAATAAGCAGAGTGTAAATATCTTGATTTTTTTATTTATGCAAAAATTCTATAACCAATACATTGTGCAAGTTTAGGTATGTTTTTGTTGTATTAAATAGCATGGGTTCAGCGATTACATCAGCCTACCTCCCGCTCTGCTAGTGGGGACCCTGCGCTCTCCGCCGAGTTCTGGCGTTGGGAGGTTTTGCAGTACAGGCTGTGATTGAACACTAGGCTGGTGGATCCATCTCTCTGAGTCAGCTCAAGTGTCCCGCCAATCACGTGACTTCTGTATGGCCATGCCCACTTTTAATCTTCCCCTCTCCCCCCGCCGCCCCCTCTGAAAAAAGACACTTGCCTGTAACTGATCGAAGCTGATAGAATAAACTCAACTACAAACTATTTTTATTTTATGAGGTAAGACAACTGAGCCATATAGCTGTTTCTCAGAAGCAACCTCACCACAAATGACAGCTCAACAAAGTGGCTAATCACATGTAAATTTATAGCAGCCAATTACTCTAAACACATGTTGAATCTAAATGTGGATGGAAAAACCGGAGGACCCAGAGAAGATTCCACGCTATCATGGGGAGAGAGAACACGCAAACTCCAAATATACAGCAGGCGTCAGGGTCGGGATCGAACCCACGACCTCCTGCACACCAGGCGAGGTAGTTGACATCTCGCCACAATGGCGCCACACCGCCCTCTCATCCCCGACATCTTGGCCTGGCCATTCCTATTCCCCTCTTCTCCTTCCTGCCCAGAGTTCCTTCCCGTGCTGTGAGATGAATAAAACTTTTCTAGGCGTGAAGGGGCGCAGCCCTGTAAGCCTGTGCCGTGACGATGGCTGGGGGGCGGGTGGGGGACGGGCTGTGTGGCCTCACCAGGCAGTGTGGAGTAGAGGCAGGTCATGTCGCTCTCCCGGGGCATCTTACGGCTACTCGTCTCCCAGCATGCGTCCACCACCTCTTCCGGTGCCGCTGAGTCCGTGGCAGTGTGAACTCCTGGCAATGCAAGGCGGTCCAATATTAGAATTCCATTACAGTCATGCAGTATGAACACGTTATGCTCATACGTTACAGTGAGCTTTACCTACGATGCTGCACCAATTTGCTTATAATAATCGTTCCTTACTTATCTATGTTGTATGCTATTGGTTCATAGCAATCCTGCAACCACTACACAATTTACATGTACTGCAATAACAAAATATTATCATTATTAATAATCATATTCTGAAAATGTATTCAAAGCATGCGCGAACGGTGGACGAGATGAATCGTCACGATACAATCAATCGTGACACGAGCGCCAGGACTGCTGGCTTCACAGCGAGCTCACCCCTGCATGCCTGCACGATGATAATCTTGGGCTTGTCCTTCAGGCCTGGGCAGTTATTGTTGTTAAGCGCTGTGTAGATCGTCTCGATGCTCAGCAGGTCACTATTGTCCTTTCCGAAGACCCCTCTGTTGCAGCCGTGGGACATGACAACCACAAATGCGCTGTCCGAATGCCAATGCTCGTCCATCTTCGCAAACTTCTTCACGAGGTTTTCAATCTCCTAAAGATGAAGAAAAAAGCACGGACAGATGATTTAATCCGGCCCTTTATTGCTCAATTTTAGACGACCCTTTTTTTATGTGCTTTTTATCGGGTAGGTATTTCTACTTTGTATATTTTTTAAATAAGAGACTCAAAGAACCAGGGTGCTCGGCTTCCGAGTGACCGACGTGTCCGGGCATCATCGTAGTGATCCCCAGCAGTGATCTAGGGAGCGAGAGGCAAGAGGGGGAGAGAAAAAGGCACACAGAAAGGAAAGGGAAACGGAAGGGGACGGAACAAAGAGAGGAGCCAAATGAGGAGTGAAGCAATGACAGGGGACTGCTCTCTTCCTTTGAGTGAGAGATCCGTGAAATGTTGTCCCGCGAGTGTTCAAGGGGTGGATATCAAATTGCGCGAGGTTTTAGCCAGTGTTCCAGCGTGGGTGATTCAAAAGATCTTATTTTGCCGAGGCTGAATGTCAGGCTGAATGTGGGGCTGAGGAACCCTTCATGGTGGCCTGGTCTTGGTCTATCAAGTGGCAGGGGGTGTCAAACGCAATTGGACAGCGGCGCTGGTTTGGATTCAAATGCACCTCCCGTGGGCTACACTTTGGGGCACTATGCAAATGAAAAGCATAGTAATCCGGTATTAATTTACCGATTAAAAATCCGAAAGCGTGAAGGAAAAAAAAGTAGTTTTTTTGCTTTGCGTCAGGGCGTGCCAAATCCCATGTGTTTCAATATCTGTTTTAACTTCAGGTTGACTTTAAGGAGAAGTAATAATATATATAAGTTGTAAAAATTAAAACGTCGGGCCAGAGGAAGGTGCTTGCGGGGGCCGTATGTTTGACACCCCTGGTCTAGGATGATATGCGGGGTCACCATTATTGCACAAGCACGCTTTCAAGCTGGCGGCCCACTGAGGTGGAGGAGGGCTGCTCGCGCGGCCCCCACCGACTCGAGCGGCCCCCACTGACTCGTCTGGGTAGCCCATCATAGCTTTAGAGCAGGTCTCTTTCTGTGCCATCGAGAGGAGGCCCCTTCTGCCAACAGCGGCTCGAGCAATCGATCGCAGGGCTAAATCTTCACCACCTGTTGCATAGAAACACAAACTTACCTCTGCGCTTTGGTCTTTATGTACAATCGGAGTGTAATCCAGCTCCTTGAAAAGCCACACCAAGTACTTAACATCCTCGTCAGAGCCATTACGCTTCGATAACCCTTTAGTAAAGTTCATATTGTTGATGATGAGGGCCTGCCTCTGTCTCGCTGGTCCACGTGGCTTCACCTGGTAAACCTGAAAATGCGCAATTGTTCATTCAAATAAGATGCAACAACAACAACTTGGGTGCCATTTTCAATACCTTGCTGATCTCGTCAAGGAGCATAAACCATCACGCGAACTCCGGTCATCCTCGCAGCAGCGGTGTCTTTTGGATAACCATCGAACAAAGACTTTCAAATGCGCTTCTGCAGCCATCTGGGTCGCTCTTCCTTCCGATATTAGGAAGCAACTGGAGCTATGCACTTTTAAATCTAGATTGAAAACTAATTTCTTTAGAACTGCTCTTGGTGTCCTTCCCCCGCACCTCTGATTGGCACGGTTGGCTATGTACGCTGCGAAAAAATTAAACATACATGCATACATTTTTTTATTCCAATCTCAGAACATGGATCCACGACCATGCTATGCTTGGAATCTACTTCTTTAAATGAATCACTGCCAATTCACTTCTCACCTCTGGACTGATAACACGCTCCTCAAAGTCACTTTCTCGTGTGTCCTTACACTTCCACCCATCCCATTCCTACTCTGAAAATAAGTGCAACCTTCCATGTCAGAGAATGGCCTACAAAAGGAGGTTTTATAGAACTACTTCCGCAGCATTTTCAAGGAGCCCCTTATCCACACTCATAGCATTTCCACCACCCTCCAACCAAATGTTTTAAATTCTCAAGAGCTGGAATTTATCCAAATTAAATTAGACGTTTGTGTAGTCACTGGTGACTGAGGTGAGACCATCAACACCATCTGAGAATAAAGAGTATTTGGTTGCCGTTATACATTTCCACGCGAGATTCCACTTCGTTGAGCTATCATTTGTGGCCAGGTCCCTTCTGAAAAATAACTGTATAGCTCAGTGGGCCTTAACTGGTTAAAAAAAACGTGTTTAGTTTATAAAGTTAAATGGGAATGATTCAAACTCCGTGTCGTTGAATGGATCTGCGAGCTGGCGACCCTCTGGCATCTCCAAGTACGTATGTATGTGTCTATGTTGAACTTCTTTCGCACCGTACATAGCCAACCGTGCTTAGAGTCTAGTTTTAACTCTCTCCGCTTGAGAGCCTGGTTTACTTACGGGCGGATGACACTCCAATTAAAACGCATTATCTCAGAGGCTGCAGCCCATCACTCTACCTTCTGAGTTATCTGACCATCACTCCAAGTGCCATTTTAATGACCAAGGATAGATGAGTTGAACTGTCATCGTATGTATTTAAACATATTTGCTTTATTTAGTTTTAAATGTCATTCTGATTTCATAGGGACTTACACATTCTTCTCCCTTTTTTGAATTGTAAAAGTCTTCTCTTGATGCCTTCACTCTCTCTGTGCCTGAGGTCACACTATCCGTGACATCTTCTGAAAAGAAAAAAATCAAGCAGCAAATCCCATAATCGCAGTGGCAGATGCTTGGGCTTCAGACAAGACCATCACGAACCCCGTGAGAGTTTCAGAAGAGATAACTGTTTTTTGAGCACATTGCTTAAAATAATTATGAGCTACATTGTCGAGAATATATATTAAAAAAGCAGACAATGAATCATTTCAATATCCATTTTCTTCAGGAGCACATATCCTATGCGGAGTGAATGCTCTAACCACGTTTCATGGCAAGCAGTTGGGTTGCAGAAAAAGATTTAGCAATATCAAACTTAACCACAAACAGCAGTAATCGGGTAGTGGAAATCAGTTTAGCGATATGGATGTGCAATCTTGCTTGAGCGCGGAAACATTTTAAAGGGAGTCCACATGGGTCGCCCGTTATCAAAAGAATCAGAATATTTATTTATACTGGATGAATCAGATGAGCTATAAAGCCCTTTTCCACAGATTTCCAGAAGGGACGTTACGGCACGGCACCAACCACCAACACTCGCAGTTGACTGCCAGCTTTTCTCCCCCAAGACCCCGAGGCCTCGTCCCGCCCTTCTTTATATCCCCTCGCTCCTCTTTCCCGCCAAATTGTATCAGTTTTTTTCCCTAATCTACACCACCCTCCAACCCCCCACTTGTATAATATTTTTGTGGGCATGACCTCGTGTCCCTTACGTGACCACCTTACATCTATCCTTTCATTTATAATTTATTTTTCCAAGGTAAGGTCCATCGAGTTATATAGCTCTTTTTCAGAAGCGACCTGGCCATCACAAATGTCTAACCTCAGCGTACATACATGTCACCCCACGTGACCTCTACACACTTGAAGGTGCTTGGAAGTGTGTGTGCTGAAGTTTGTATCCTTCTAAACTCCGTGAGAGGCACAAGTATGTTGGTTGCGATGGTGGCCCACGTAGACTTGACGGCGGTATGGATCCAGGCAGTGACAACAAAGGCATGGGAACAATTCACGAGGTTGCGGCCGAAGCGGAAAGAAATGGCCGAGATGGCGATCACGAGATCAGGGTGACGGGCGGGGGTCGGAAATTGAAGTGGCCGAGTGTGGGGGGTGGTCATTTGGGATTGTGAGTTCAGTGGGTGAGGAGATCAGATTGGTCTATGGCAGTGTTTCTCAAACATTTTTAGCCCTGCGGACCTCTCAGTCGATCCAAACATTTCTGCGGACCACCCAGCCCTGGTGACAAAACACATTCACTTATCCCTAAATACCAGAAATATTAAATTATTCATATTTTCGGAACATACTTTTTTAACCCAGATATAAGGTTATTTTTAGGAGGTGGGGGGGGGGGATTTAGATCTGAGTGTTAGGGTAGTTTAATCAGGGTAGTTTACCTAACTTCATTTTGAAATAAAATATCATGAGTAAAATATGAATTCGTGTCTAAAACAAAATATATAAAAGTTGACATTATTTCCAGATCAACCTGCATTTACATCACAGTCCCTACGGACTACCTGAAGGACCGTCGCGGACCACCGGTGGTCTGGGGACCCACACTCTGAGAACCACTGCTGGAGATGCGTGAAGTGAAGAAATGGGGGATCACAAGTCAGGGACATGGAGGTGGGCACTGTCGCGTGTCCTGTTGACAAGGATGAGACCGACTAGGGTCAGGAGCACGGTGGGATGCAGGCCGCTGAAACAGGGTGTGAGAAGGTTGCCGGACGACCACTGGTGGGGGACATTATGCCGGTGGCACCTGCAGCAGTTTTGCAGGCCACTGGGACTCGCAGCTGGGGCCTACCTGTGTTCGGAGTCATCAATGCTTCGTACACGGGGTTTGCTTCAGCCTTCATACGATCTCTCAGATGAGGATTTTCTCCGCAGTATGGTGACAATATCTCTTTGAGAAATCTGGTGCAGACTCCTTCACCCATATTGATCAGATGGTCGAGCAAATACCTTGGCAGCTCCGCACGTGGTTTTTCATCTAACCAACTATAATCTGAACGATTGATAATTTCTTTTGCATCAAGCCTGTCAAGGATATCCTTTATGAAGGGATAAATGATTTTTAGCAGTTCAACTTTACATTTTTTGATCACTCGCAGGCTACGATCGCCAGACATCTTGAACAATTGTCTTTATCTGTAATAGAAAAAAACATAATTATTGATATTACAAGATGTTCAAATGTGCGTGTCCTAGTTACATGGCCGAATGGTCGTGCGTTCACCACTCATTGCATTTATTGACAGTTCAAAGCCAGAGGCCACGCTGATCATTACTGCATGTGTAATAACCTTAAAAGTAAGCAACAACCACTTTTCAGTGGATTTTAATGATCCCCTGACTTCAGTTACAAGAGTAGGCCATTGTCTGCCAGCATCAGGGTCCAAATTCGAAAATTACCTGCAAATTACTCAATTGGGAGTCTACACACAGCAGCAATCATCGCCCCCTACTGGCACAGCAATACCCCAAGTCACTCTTGCAAATGAGGGTCATCCTGAACTCCTGAGTTCTCACCTGGTTAAACGGAAAAAATTAACCCGTAAAAACAAAGTTTTTCACTATAAATCCTTTATATGCGTGGCATCGGTTTTATTTTATTATTCATTTCTGTTTTTCTTGAGTAAGAGTTTCATTTTTATCACACTTTCTTGCTTGCAAGCAAGCAAGCAAGTGAACTTAATATAAAGGATTTAAAAAGAGTATTTTGCTCTTATTGATGAAATGGCCGAAACACGGTGATTGAAAACTGGCATGACCTTGCCCAAGTACAGTATATGCACAGCCCCTTTGTCAATCCACTGCTGAGTGAGGGCCTCCCCACGCCATAAGATTCGTTTGGACTATGTGTCCATACTTCACCGGGCTGGTCGGTGAGAGTTGGGTGAACATAAAGAGCAGAGACTTGGGAGCGTTGGCGTAGAGTGCAGCAGTCACTCTGCCGACACACGTTTCCCGGCAGCAACAATGTATGACAATTAGCCAGCCTCCAATCTGCTTGGCATTCGAGATCTCATGAGGGCGGGCGTAATTCCGAGTGCCTTGGTTGATGGGCGTGGGGCTGTGCTCGTCAATGTTAGGGGCCCGGAGTCAATCGTGGAAATTCAAAAGATTCCCATGGCAACGGCCAATTTCTCCATATAATCATCTCAAATTAGTGCATTGGGTTCCTGGCAATTGTACTTCTAGCACAAGGATATCCCGATGAAAAATAGGCGCAATTTATGTTTCACAGACGACTATATAGTGTGCAGTCGCTTCCACCATAGAATTGGAAAATTCCCATGAATGAATGTTTTCCTTTAACCAGCAGGTGAATTCAACCCACGAAGACGGATGACACAGCAATGCCTCTTTTTCAGGGGCTATACGTAGGAGATGTGTATATGTAGAGTATGTCTAATTTCTTTCGCACCGTACGTAGCCAACCGTGCTAATCGCCGAATTTGAGCAGGGTTTTCCTCTTGACTTGTGAGAGTTGTGTGCTTGACATTGCTGTTACTGTACCTTTCCGAGCCAAAACTACCTTGAACGAGAAATGATGAATAACGTGATGTGCGAGACAATTCGTTCTAGCGTAATCGAACATGATGGACAACACGGATCTCGCTTCATCGTTCCGTCTCTGTTCGGTGTCACACATCATATCTGTTCTCGACCCCATTCTCTTTTCATCGCGTGAAGTGTGGATGGCTTCGCTGGCAGGTGGTCACGGAACAGACATATGTGCCATGAGTAGACAAAGATGACTGGAATATGCACCGCCTGTGTGCTCCACTTTGCCGACTTTTTAACCGCCCGGCGCTCCGCTCGCTGGTGTGAGCATCACTCAAAAGTGCATCTAGCCTGGCACTGTCCAGTAGCGTCCCTTCAAGAGCCTCCGCCGGAGATGCCGATCTTGACAAGTCCGCTGCTACCAGAGTCATGGACAAGTCCAATCAGCTGCACATGCCCTCCCGTAGCGTGCACGTCTGTGCCCCTATCAGGCCAGGCGGTGGCTGGGCATGTCTGCTAACATGCCCCAACACTGAGAGGTGGTACATCCATAAAGACAAAGGTTCCCCGGCCCCTCTATAGCCCGAACAGACTGTTGGGGCAAGTGCTTGTTAGCGGGCAGCACCTTTTGCAGGAGGGCAAGGGCAGCTGGAGGGGGGTGGGTGGCCAGCACCACGCCGCGTTTGAGTTCACTCACCTGCGTACCTGGGCCAAAGGCGCGCGATAAAGGAGGGGTTGTGCGTGGCGCTCGACGCGGAGAATCGAAACCCAATAGGAGGAAGCAAAACTAAAAACTTCGATTTACGGGAAACGCGGTGACGTCACGTGGCATTGTCCGCTTCGCACATGCCTCGACCACAGGGTGGCGCTGTGTCAATGAATATTGTATCGGGACACCGTTGAATTTCGATGTAAAGCTTTCGTGACTGCAGGGATTCATTTTCTTGGCTGCTTGCGTTGTGGCCGAAACGTCGTGAGAATTTTTTTTAAATGTTTTATTTTTATTATTTTATTATTTCCCTTCTACGTGACTTTACCGAAAGAACCAAGATTAGGGACACCGTTGAATTTCGATGTAAAGCTTTCGTGACTGCAGGGATTCATATTCTTGGCTGCTTGCGTTGTGGCCGAAACGTCGTGAGAATTTCTAAAAATGTTTTATTTTTATCATTTTATTATTTCCATTCTACGTGACTTTACCGAAAGAACCAAGATTAGGGACACCGTTGCTTGTATTATTAACAACGGAATGCCCGTAGTTCGCGGTGCGCATGCAGTAAACGTGGCTGAATCAGAATACGCTGGAGGAATCCGATGAGCTATGAAGCTCTTTTTCTCCAGGGTTAATCGCTGCGTCGACTCATCGGTAAGCGATCCATCGAGTTTGACCCCCTCCCCCACCCATTGATTATTGCGACACGTGAACCGCCTCTTCTTTTGTTAATTGTCAGTCCGTTTTTTTACATCGTATTACAGCGCTCGTGCAGCCGAGTGTGGGGCCGTCCATAAATGACGTCACGCGATTTTGGATGATTTTTGACCCCCCCCCCCCCCAGTCACACGGCGTCACAAAAAGTCAGACCCCCCCTCAAATATGACGTTATAAAGCTCTGCCCCCCCCCCCCCAAAAAAAAAAAACATGCTTCAAATCGCTTTAAACTATTGTCATTGTAGTGCGTATTTAATGTGGCGTTGCACTCTGATGTTGTAGGAGAACATTTGATTTAAAAGTCTATTTAAGTAGAACGTGTTGTCTATGTTTATTTAAAGTTGCGCATTTTGATGTGACGTCACATTTCTCAAACCCCCCCTCCTCGTCACACATCATCACAAATGTCTGACCCCCCTCCCCCTAGGAGCGTGACGTCATTTATGGACGGCCCCTTACCCTTGTGTTCGATTCCTGACTTGGGCGCCTTCTCTTCCGAGAATTCGTCTATTTCTCCCCCATGCTCTGTGAGAGTGGTGCGCGCGCGTGTGTGGAGAAGGCTCGTGAAGGAGACCTACTGGGGAAATTGGGAGGCAGTCGCCCTCCAACAACAAGAACGGAAGGGCAGAGCGACACTCACAACAACGAGCGGAGCGCCGGGCCGATAAAGTTCGGCAAAGTTAGCACAGCAGGGGGCACAGCTGGGTGCATCTACCGGTTATCTCAGTCAGCCAACCCATGGCACCTGCTGGGTCTGTCCCGTGACCTCCTGTCAGCGTCTATTCGACACTTCAGGTTGCCTCAAAGTGCACCTAGCCTGGCACAAGCGCCGTGGTGACATCACCGCCACTTCGTGGCGAACGGCGACTGTTGTGTGTGACAGGAGGGGAATGCCTTCATAGGTCCTTTCTAACAGCCCTTGCTCTGTTCAGCCTATACGGGGGATCTTTTGCGCGTGTGTGGGGAGCGGTGGCGCAGCGGTTAGCGCGCCGCGCTACGAACCCGACGACCCGAATTCGATTCCCGCTCACAGCCAACGCCAGTGGCGATTATCTGAACAGGTCCTGGGCCTCCCCTAGGTCGACTCAGCCTCAAATGAATACATGGTGCGATGTGTAAAGATCGCCACTGGGGAGACAAAGGTGGCCGGGCGTGGTGCTGGCCAACAACCCCCCTCGTGTGCTTTGCGAGCATTCATAGGTGCTCACTAACAGCACTTACCACAACAGTCTGTTAATGTTATACGAAGGAGCTTTGTTTTTTTTGTAAGTGGACTTTTGATGTTATCCATTTGTTCTGCATTCATTTCCTCCGGGTTCTCCTGTTTCTTCCCATAGCTAAAACAAATACATACAATGCAACTGGTATTGCCCAAAGTACAGTATCCCATTGCTGAAAAATTACCTCGAAATTACCCAATTGGGATTACACGCAACATCGCCCGCTGCTGTGAAAACTTGGCAGGACCCTGCTGATAATTGGTTTGAAGCTCAGTGAAGCTATCTAGGGGTAAACAAGCGTAATAAAAATAAAAAGTGTTAGAGTTCAAAGTCTTTAATAAAAAAGTTTTAGAGTTCAAAGTCTTTAACACGCAGGCATACGAAGGGGCGGCTCTGTTGTGGTGGGTATGTGTGTGTATCTTTGGAGTGAGCCACACCATTATACAATATATCATAGATAACCTCTGGATCGGATTTCACACACAGTGTCTCATCAGCAAGTCAGGCTTCCTTGAATCGATGCTGGTGAACTGCCAAATGATGGCGACAATGTCCCTCACGTTAAGATATGGATCCTAGTTCGAATCTAAATAATACAATTCACAAATCACAATTATAAATAGTGTAGTTGGCAAAATAGAAAAGCAGATGTCTCCTTCATATATATGTCTCTACGCGTACAAATATAAAACAATTCATGGCCTATATTCTTGGTTCTTTCGGTAAAGTCACGTAGAAGGGAAATAATAAAATAATACGTGACTTTACCGAAAGAACCAAGAATATGAATCACTGCAGTCACGAAAGCTTTAAATCAAAATTCATGGCCTATTTATTCTGAGGAATTGGAGACGCTTCTGCTGAACCTGGAGAATGCCACGAAGAGGTGCGACCTTGATCATCATCCCCACGAAAATCAAGCACCTGCCTGGATATTGTATCATAAAATACATTTTCCATCATAAAAAATACTCTAAACTCTGAATTATCCATTAGTAATGGGGCAGTTGTGGCTCGATTTGAGGAGTCATATCTTTGGGCAGTTGTGCTCATGACTAGTTCCGGTTTGGCATCAAAGGATGTTGTTTTCGAATCAGTTGAGCAGCATTATTGTTTCATCGGTTGCATAACGCCATTACCGGCGATAGCTATGCCCTCTCTTCTCTATGTTTGTGAAACGTTGACCCCTCGAAAGGAGGATCTGCGCCGCCATGAACATTCAGACTGGATAGCCTACGATTCACCTTGGGTTGAACCAGATCGGATTGTGTGAGGAGCTCACAGATCCTTGAAAGGTTTGGACACGTTCCCAATCAGTTAGCTCCTCCGACAGGCGAGGCTGCGTTGAAATAGGTCGTGTAGCCTGAATGCCCAGCCACCGCATCTCCAAGCAGCTTCTGTTTGGCCACATCGAGGGAGCGAAACGGGTACGGCAGGCGCTATAGAAGAGATTGGTTAATGTGGTGTGGAACTTAGTCGACTTGCCCAGTAGCGTCCAGCTCGTGCAGGAGGCTGCTGGTCCGTTGAAGGGAGTCGCAACAACGGAGTTTGTTTAGAGGAGCGACGCTCATAACTCTTCGAGTGCTGGACGACCTAAAGCATGTTGGCACAGTGGGCAGCACAAGTGTTGTATATGCCAGTCAACTCGTAACACCTGGATGAGTCCTGCGACTTCCTTAGTCATGTACCCCCGTGACAACTATTTACGTATAACTAGCGGCACCTTGAAGTCCACTCCACTCCCGTGGCTTCCTGTGTTGGCGAACATCGCTCCAGCAAACATCCGACGTGATGCCGCGACGATCCGGATGTACAACAAGATCATTGAAAACTTCGCGCTGCCGCTCCACCGATACATACAGGAACCCCCAAGCCCTCGGCTTAAATGCAGGAAGGCTTTCTGGATACGCGCCTCTGCTCTGGCAACTGAAAATAAAGACGCCGGCACTCGATGGTCTGGGATTCTCTCTCTCACGACGGCTGTGGACCACACTGAACCACGCTCGAACACAGCACGGGAGATGCGCGTACACGTTCCATAAATGGAAAATCGAGAATCACCAAAGTGCGGCTGTGGTAAAGCCTAAACCATCAAACACATCACCGCCATCCATGCACACTTTGGCAGTATCGCTGCGATCCATGCAGCATCGACTGCCGCCTTGGATTGAAGGACCTTAACATTTAACCATGACATCATCTACATAAATTGTTGCTTACATGCCATACGAAAGAAGAAGACGTATAACTAGAGTATAGGGATACTATATACAAAGCATTATGGTTTCGTATGAAGCATACCGTATTGGTGCTGTCTCAGGGTGTCCAGGTGAACCCACGTTACGATAAAATGACGGGCTTGGTCCGTATCCACTCGCCGTCTCAGCTCAGGTTATATTACTGCTGGGCTGTTATATGGCCGTCCGCTCTGGATTACTCATGCGAATGACAGAAGGGGGGAAACCCCTTACCACGGACTTCATTGTGTGGGGTTATCGGTGAATCGACGAGGAAGGGAGACATGGTGGTATTTTACCTTCCTCGTGCGCTATTGTGGGTCTGATGTTTGCAATTCCACACGCGCTCTTTACGCGCTCTGCGTTCACAATAAACAAGCCAGGTGTGTGTGTTGTGTGTGTGCGTGTTTTCATCTTGTGGGGAGTGTAGCGGTTAGCGCGCTGCTTGACGAACCTGGCGACCTGAGCTTGATCCCCGCTCATGGCCAACACCCAGTGACGATTATATTATCTGAACCGATCGTCGGCCTTCCCTAGGTCGACTCAACCTAAAATGGGTACGGTGTGTAAAATCATCGCCACTGGGGAGGCAAAGGTGGTCGGTTGGCACAGGTGCTGGCCATCCACCCCCTCGTGTACCGTGGCAGCCTTCATATGTGCTCGCTAACAGCACTTGCCCAAAATGTCCATTCAGACTATACGTGTGTAGAATTTCGTACCGTACATACACAACCGTGCTAATCGGAGATGCGGGGTAAGGACAACAAACTAAACACAAAAAGCAGTTACTGTATTTGTATTTCCGTATGCATGAGTGTGCAGTATTTTCGCATGCAGAGTTTTTTTGACCTTTGAGTGCGTGGGCGCGTGCAGGGGATCAATAACACGGGTCTGCGTCTCGTCGCAGTCACCGTATCTTCTTGTCTTATATCGGGTTATAAAAAGCTTTAATTTAAGGCGGTTTTAAACAATAATAAAAGTGTACATAAGATGATGGTAGCTGCAATTCCACACGTTGACTTTTGAACTGCAGAATCCCAATTGAAGGCAACTTAAATGTATCCACGTTAATTTAACAAGTAGGCTTTCGCAACCAATGTTATTCATAATAATAAAAGTTATTTTGGATTAGATCGCGTAAATATAAATGTGTAGTTAACCCACCACCACCCGACACAGGCAATCAGTAAGGTTTGTCACGTAAAAAAAACCGTGCCAATTAGTTACTACTTCAACACACCGGTGTGTTGGAGAGTAAAATTGTAAATTCTGTGGGTTTTTCTGTTTAGTTTGTTGTCTTTCCCCCACACCTCCCACGAGCACGGTTGGCTACGTACGGTGTGAAATAATTTCAACATACCTACAACATTTCACGTGAAAGCATTATTTTCAGATAAACACGCTTCAACACACCGGTGGGCTAAAGCAGTGAACTATTTGTCTTTTGTCAACGTGACACTTTTTTACTGATTGGCCGTGTCGGGTGGTGGAGGGTCACGACACATTTATAAATAACGCGATCTAAACCCAAAAACGTTGATTATGAATAATATTGGTCGCGAAAGCCTACGTGTTAAACTTTATAAATCTACTTAACATGGTCATGTCAGAGCACTGGTGCAGATTCTGTTTGACAGTTGCACACATCTAGGAAGATCGGGGGGTTTACAAGAGGACTCACTCTCAGGGGCAACATCGACGGGGGGGATTAATCTTCAGGATTGCCAAGCAAACAATGGAAGCCACGAGGAGGGTCACAGCCACACCACCCATGACCGCCACCTTTAAAATGCCTATATTATGAAATAAAATTGAAGAAACAATGTCATCCCATTTATGAAGGCCCGAACAAAATATGCACTCAAATTTACTCAGATTACGATATTTATGCAAAACTGTACCACATTTAAGGAGCGTATTCAATGTACACAATACATTTATAGTTACCTATATGAATGCAGTATCACATGTATGGTCTATGGATTGTATCAAGGCCGTAATTATATATTATATTGGGGGGGGCACATCCCCCGCAATATTCAAATATGCTCAAAATACCACCCCCCCCCCCCCAATATATTGCTATAAAATAAATTTGTTTATGTGATTGTGGTTATGGTTGTACTTTATTAATCCCTAATCTCTGCCATTAGATACAATGAAACAGAGCAAAGTAATACATTATTGTAAAAAATAAATAAAAAGTCCATCCTATGTGTTAGTGAATTTTTTAATATTTTAGGCAGGAAATTCGTTTTCAAATTTAGATTTTTTTTTTCTGGGGGGGGGGGGGGACCCCTAGACCCCCTGAAAGATTTGGTCCCCCCAATGTTGACTCCATGGCTACGGCCTTGGATTGTATACAATGTAGAGTACATCTGAGATCAAGGCAAGTGAAGCATATCGAACAGAAAGCTGGACAATGAATAAGGAAGAGCACGTGCTATTGAAAGCAGAAATGCCGAAGCTGTGCCAGATTACCACAGCAACACTGAGGGACAGGTAGATATGTGAGGGCATCAGCATACACCAGCGAAGGAAGCAAGACAGCGATGAATGAATGATCCATTTAACACGTAGGCTTTCGCGACCGTTATTATCCATAAGAGGTTTTTGGGTTAGAGCGCGTAAATATAAATGTGTCGTTGGACACGCCACCACCCGACACAGCCAATTAGTAAGCTTTGTCACGTAAACAAAACATTCCAATTTGTTACTAGTTCGTCACACTGATGTGTTGGAGTGTAAACCCAAAACATTTACAATTCGAGTACGACGTTTCGCCGGCAATTACAACCAGCCTAATCAGGCGATAGCCCGGTGACGTGACAAGCCTTACTAATTGGCTGTGTTGGGTGGTAGTGGCGGATTTAACGACACATGTAACCTCTTATGAATGAATGCTCCTTATAGAACAGGGGTCCCCAACCCGTTAGGAACCGGGTCGCACAGCAGCAGGAGGTGAGAGAGGTGAGTCCGTACGTGACCCGCCCCCATTGTTTTATTATTCACCACTTCCATCCGCGCCTCTTTCTCGCACTGCGCACTTGCCTCAGTCACAGTTTTGGTAAGCCCACAAGCTAACCCTAGCCAAAATAAGTAAAAAAAACAAACGTCGCTGGAGAGCTTCTTTGAAAAAGGGGGAAAGACCCAATGATGAACGCCCCCGCCCCCCGGTCCGTGAAAAAATTGTATTCCACGAAACCCGTCCCTGGTGCCAAAAAGGTTGGGGACCGCTGTTTAAATATCGAGGACTGCATTTTTTGTTTGTGTTATAGTGCCCTCTGCTGGAACACTTACCATCTTCAACCTCGCTTCTGGCTAAACTATATTCAAAACATAAAATCACGGTGACAGTTTTGCAGAAAACAATTAGTTTGAATGATAATGATAGGGTTTTTCCCCTTTTTTCTGACAACAAAACTGAAACCTTTTTACAAGGATTCATGTCTGTATTAACCACAATACTTGCAGTCAAAATGCAAACAAAAAACATACTATGATAATATATGCATTGTCCTTGAAATTGATTGGTCCACACCAAGGGACGGCTTTCTTTCTTTGGTACTGGCAAAGGAGGTCTAATGATGTAGTTTGAATGAGTTGACATTAGGCGTGAATGTATGCAACTCTCACAAGGGAACCAAACGTATGTAAATCCCTCTTCATATCGACAATTGTGTTTTACGTTTCTTGCAAATAAAGTTAATATTGTTTAAGAAAATCAAGAGCAGATGAAAAAGTGTCTTTGAAGACAACCCTACTTCAGGATAATTTCCAGCTCCTGTTAACTAGGTGAGTACGGTGTGTGGAATGCGAAGATATATTTGAAATTTTGGTATTTGAAATAGGTTGCACCAACGTATGACTATATCCTAAGCTGATGGAGCAAACAGGCACAGAACGCCAGGGAATTATGTTTTTTGTTAAGATATCCCTTGTCAAAACACTGCTGTAATACTTTTTCTACAAGGAAAAAACATGTCATGCTTCGAGAATATAAACTTACATTTTCCTCCAGCTGAAACATCATTGCAACCTTCCAAGAGGTTGTGAGTGGCACTGTGTGAGAGTGTGCAATAAAACAGGGAAGGGGCAGAGGGTGGTCGTCATTGCACAAAAATGCAGTCGATACTGATCCATTAGGAAATACATGGATACTAAATATTTCACTGTGAGCTCATACAAAATAATGTTTAGAGTGAGCTTATGATCACTTCTAGCAGAACATTAAAAAGCTGCAATTTCCAAACGTTATAAAATTGGGGAACCGAGTATGGTATTTTTAAAATGCTAAATAAACAATTTCACTTACTTATTAAACTATTCCACTTTTAGAAACTATTTTTTTTATTTGACCAGGTAATGGTCTACAAAGCTACATCGCTCTTTTTCAGAAGCGACCTGACAACAAATGATAGCCAAATGAAGTGGCTTATCATGTGGACATTCATAGCAGCCAAACACTTCAAACGCATGTTTCTCAATGTGGAGAGAAAAACTGGAGGATCCGAGAAAAATCCACGCGACCACGGGGAGAACATGCAAACTGCAAATATACAGCAGGTGGCAGGGTTAGGATCAAACCTACGACCTCCTATTATCTTTAAGAGAGCTGTAATATGAGCTGGAAGTTAATGTGTGTTGTCTCTGCTCAGAATCTATTTGACCTTGTTACCTGGGGTGCTGTTTGTGACAGAGACGTCTTCTGTGGGACAAAAACACAGAGGGAGTTAGAGACCAGTGAGCGGTAAAGAGAACACGAGTGAATCTAAAAACATGCATTTCAGTTGTGACTTTAGCTTTAAAATGTTGAAAGTGAGACTACACTCAGCTATTGCAATATAGAATTGCAACCAAATCCAACACGTAGTTAAATGTTTATTGATGTTTACATTCATGGTGCAATAATAGGGTTGTTGCCCTTTTTTCTGGCAACAAAACTGAAACCTTTTTACAAGGAATCATGTGTGCATTAACCACAATATTTGTGGTCAAAATGCAAACAAAAAACACACTCTGCTAATATATGCATTGTCCTTGAAACTGATTGGTCCACACCAGAGATGGCTTCCTTTTGAGCCTTGTCTCAATTGGTGCTAGACCAGAGGACGCTAAAAGGCGTACAGCTCAAAGACAATGCACAATCAAAGTAATGAGGGCTTGGGGTAAGCATCTACATCATTAGACCTC